TAGGATTTCCAAGGCACAGCTGGTGAGCTTGCAGTTCAAATGGCTGCTTGCAGCCGGGTGCATTAACCCACAGCACCACACCAGGACTCCAAGGCATGAATTTAGACACCTTTTAAATTAATTTGAGTCACATCAATTCAGCTTTGCATTCTATCTTTGAACACGTTAAAGAGGTCTTCTGCAGCACATCTGCCTAGTGCAATACGCCATTTGATTTCTTGACTGCTACCCTCAATGAGTGTTGGTTATGGATCTAAGCAAAATGAAGTTTTTGATAACTTCAATCTTTTCTCTGTTTATCAGGATATTTATTGGGCCAGTTATGAGGATTTTCATTTTCTTTCCATTAAAGTGCACTTCCATGCTGAAGACTGTAGTCGTTGATCATCATCAGTAAGGATTTAAAGTCCTCTTTGTTTATGACAAGCAAGGTTTTGTCATCTGCATACTGCAGATTATTGTCTTCCTCCAATCCTGAGGCCATGTTCCTCTTCATATAATCCCGTTTCTCAGATTATTTGTTCAGCATGTAAGTATGGCGAACACATACTTATTCAAGCTACTTATCCTGACACACAACTTTCCTAATTTTAAACCACTCAGTATCCCCTTATTCTGTTTGAATGACTGCCTCTTCATATATTTACAGGTTCCTCGTGAGCACAACTGAAGTCCTGGTGTGGCACTGTAAGTTAATACGCTGGACTGCAAAGTCAGTTTGAACCACAAGGTCTGCAGTTCAAGTTCACCAGCTGCTTCTTGGAAACCCTATATAGGGTAGCTATGAGTTAGAACCTACTCAACAGCACTTAACAAGAACAGAAACGAGCACAATCAAGTGCTCTGGAATACTCACTCTTTACAATGTTATCCGTAGTTTGTTATGATCCACACAGTTGAATGCCTTTGCACATCAATAAAACACAAATAAACATCATTTTGATATTTTGTGCTTTTAGTTAAGAGCCATCTGACTTAGCAATGACCTGTTTTGTTCCACATCCTTTTCTGGATCCAGCTTAAATTTCTGGCAGCTCCCTGTTGATGTATTGCTGCAGGTTTTTGAATTATCTTCATCTAAATTTTACTTATCCTGACACAGCCAGAGTGCTCCTTAGAGGCCAAGATGGCCAAACTTCGTCTCTCATACTTTGGACATATTGTCAGGAGGGAACAGTCGCTGGAGAAGGATATCATGTTTGGTAAGATGGAGGGTCAGAGAAAAAGAGGAAGACCCCCAACAAGATGGATCGGCCTGGTGGCAGCATTGATGGACTCAAATGTGGCAACAGTAGTGAGGTTGGCCCAGGACCGGACATTGTTTCGTTCTGCTGTGCATAAGGTCACTATGAGTCAGTGCCAACTCGATGGCACCTAACAACAACAACAAATTTTACTTGCATGTGATATTAATGTTCGATGATTTTCATATTCTTTTGTGCCACTTCTATTTGGAATGGGCACAAATATGGGTCTCTTTCAACTGGGTGACCAGGTAGCTATCTCCCAAATTTCTTGGCATAAGCAAGTGAGCATCTTCAGTGCTGCATCAGTTTGTTGAAACACTTCAATTTGCATCCCATCAATTCCGGGAGCCTTGTTTTTTGTCAAAATTCTGCCACGCAATTTCCATCACCATTTCCATCACCAAGGCCACATTTTTCATCTATTGATTCTTCCTCTCTGTTTCCAACTTACACATTCCAACCCCCAGTAATTATCAATGCATCTTGACTGCATGTTTGATCAATTTCAGATGAAGAAGTTGGTAGAATTCTTCAATTTCATCATCACTGACTTTAGTGGTTGCTACATAAATCTGAATAATAGTAATATTAAGTGGTCCTCCTTGTAAGTATATAGATATTGTCCTATCACAGACAACACTGCACTTCAAGACAGACCTTCAAATGTTTTTAACAATGAATGTGACGCCATTCCTCTTCAATTTGTCATTCTCAGCATAGTAAGCCATATGATTTTCAGATTCAAAATGGCCCATATTAGTTCATTTCAGCTCACTAAGGCCAAGAATATTGATCTTTATGTGTTCCATTTAATTTTTGATGACTTAGAATTTTCTGAAATTCAAACTTCATACATTCCACATTTCAATTATTAATGGATGTCTGCAGCTGTTTCTTCTCATTTTGAGTTGTTCCCCATCAGCAAATGAAGGTTCCATAATCTTTGCTCCATTTTTGTCATTATGGTCAACTCTACTTTGAGGAGGTAGCTCTTCTCCAGTCATATTTTGCATGCCTTCCAACCTGAGGGTCTATATCTGACAGTGTTCTGATGCTACGCATATGGTTTTCAGTGGCTAACCATTCAGAAGTGGCCTGCTTCTCCTTCTTCCTAGTCTGTCTTAGTCTGAAAGCTCTTCTGAAACCTGTCCACTATGATTGACCCTACTGGTATTCAAAATACTGGTGGCATAGCCTCCAGCATCACAACAAAATATAAGCCACCTTACTAGGAAAAAAGTGTCAAAGAGAAAAGATGTCAGCTTGAGGACTATGGTACGCCTGACACAAGTCATGGTATTTTCAATAACCTCGTATGCATGCGAAAGCTGGACAGTGAATAAGGAAGAATTGATGCTTTAGAGCTATGGTGTTGGAGGAGAATATTGAAAGTGCCATGGGCTGCCAAAAGAACCAACAGATCTGTGTTGGAAGAAGGGCAGCCAGAGTGCTCCTTGGAAGCCAGGATGGCCAAACTTCATCTCTCATACTTCAGACATGTTGTCAGGAGGGACCAAACATTTGGTAAGGTGAAGGGTCAGAGAAGAAGAGGAAGTCCTCCAGCAAGATGGATTAGCAAAGTAGCAGCATCAATGGGCTCAAGCATGGCAACAACTGTGAATTTGGCCCAGGACTGGGCAGTGTTTTGTTCTGTTGTACACAGGGTCGCTATGAGTCGGTATCGACTCTATGGCACCTAACAACAACAACAACTAGGAAAAAATGACATATGGGTAGTGGTTGCAGGCCTTAAGACTTAGTTCTGATTGCTTCGTGGGAGAATTCTCAGCTTCCGTATCGGAGACCCAGCTTCAGTTCCTGGCCAATCCAGCTCACACACAGCTACCTCCTGTCTCTCAGTGAGGGTCTGCATTTTGCTATCGTGATGAGCATGTTTCAGTGAAACTTCCAGACTAAGACAGTCTAGAAATAAAGGTCTGATGACCTACTTAGAAAAACCAGCCAATGAAAAACTTATGTGTCTCAACAGTCTAATCCTCCACCAATTCTGAGGATAGTGCAGAACTGGGTAGGGTCTCATTCTTCTTTGTGTGGTGCCATCATAAGTCGGTAGCCAGCTCAATGGCAGCTAGCAACAAGAAGACCTACTGAAGATTCTGAGCAAGCAGGGGACTTGATGGAAATACCGCTGGAAATTTTATGTGGGGCTAGATGGGTTGGAGATACAAGATTGATGCAGAGGCAGGGCGTCAGGTAGGCAGTATAATATAGCAAAGAGAATTCTTGCAATAGAGCCAAAAGGAATGGGGTCCCATTTTGCCAATGGTTTTAATCTATTTGGGTTCAATTTACTCTTTTTGGGCTTAATTTTTCTCAGCTGAAAAATAGGCATCATCATTGCACGATATCACCTCTTTCCAGCACTGACACATTGTACTAGAATTCAACTTATTAACAGACCTCAAGCTTGAAATGATGAAGGGTTAAATTAGCAGGGTTATCAACTGAAGAAAGAGAAAGGAAAGATATTCTGGAATTTGAAATGATAGGGCTTAAAAGATGATTCAGTATAAAGGGACATAAAGGAGGTGAGAAATAAAAATAATTTTGAGTCTATCATGGGATATTATGATTTTGATAGTTCCAAAATAATGATGGTGGGTTTTAGGAGGAAGATGATGAGTATGGTTTTAAATACTACTGAGTACTGTGGATTGAACTGAGTCCCCTCAAAATATTTGCTGGAATTGCATTGGGCAAAACTGCTGTAAAAGGTCTCTTTAAAGTGTTGAAGAGCAATGATGACACTTTGAGGATGAGGATCTACCTGACCCAAGCCATGGTATTTTCAGTCACCTCATATGCATGGGAAAACTGGACACTGAGTAAGACCAGAGACGATTCAATGTACTTGAATTATGGTGTTGACAAGAAATATTGCATGTATCATGGACTGCCAGAAAAACAAACAAATCTGTTTTTGAAGAGGTAACAGCCAGATTGCTCCTGCAAATTGACGATGGTGAAATTTGTCTCATGTACTTTGGACATGTTATTAGGAGGGACCAGTCCCTGGAAAAGACCATGAGGCTTGGTAAAGTTGAGTATCGACACAAAGAGGAAGACCCTCAATGAGATGGATTAACAGAGTGCCCGCAACACTGTGCTCAAGCATAGCAACAGTGAGGATGGCCCAGGCTTGGGCAATGTTTCCTTCTGTTGTACATAAGATCACTGTGAGCAATGCTGACTCAGACACCTAACAACAGTATAAGCCAAAATACCTGTGAGTCTAATCTAGTCACCTTCCAGAACACAATGTAATGTCATGTAAACAATCTGTTGAAGTTATACCTCTGTAGGGCAGAGCCTACATGGACTCACTTCTGAATTACATATATAGAGCAGCATAAATAGAGACATGGATGTGCATTTTGGGGAAGGCAGATGTCGTTGCAAGGACTGTCTTCAAACCAAGGTACACTAAGAAGGAATCAACACAACCGAGACCTCTAGGACTTCGAGAAAACTGTGACTCTTTAAAGCCTCTCACTTGAGATGTTTCTGTCACACCAGCACTAGGAAACTAAGACATAGAGTAAAAACTGAAAACAAACTATCCTGGACTCTGGTACCTGCAGGACCCTAACAGTGAGGGCCACTCAAAGTCTGCTCCATTGGTGCTTTCCTTCCCCTGGTCCCAGCCCTAACCTTGTGGGAGGAAGAGATTTAAAAGCCAATATAAAGGACAGGCAGAAAAGAAGAGAGTGTCAAGTTCATAATAGTCCTTACCTGCAACCAGTCTCCCGCTGTGAACTGTGGGGGACAGTCTGTCCTGGCACAGGATTTACGAGATGAAGCCTTGGGCCCCTGGCACAATTCATCGGAGAGATTCAGAAAGCTGCCATCTGTCAACAGCTGCCGGCAGGTGACTCTTCGAGTCTGAGTTCCCCCACCACATGTCCTGGAGCACTGAGGAGACAGGAGGTGGAGACTCAACGAGGTTGGCATGACCCATTCCGTGCCAGGACAGTGTAGTGCTCTTCACTATCTACCTGGGCTAGGCCATGGAGGCCCGCCTGCCATACCTGCTGCCATTCTTCAATGTGCCAGCTAGGAGGGCAATCAAACTGATTGCATGCTTGCAAGGCATGGGGCTTTTCAGCTCTGCATTCTTCAGGAGGGACAAGGGATTCTCCAGGGTGCAGGCAGTGTACATCTCGAGTCTGGATTCCAACACCACAGGTAGCTGAGCAGGGTCCCCAGGAGCCCGTGTGCCACCTACATCAAACAATACGTGTGCAAGTTGAGTTATTCAACGGCAATCCGAGCATAAACAATTCCAAATTCTCTTGAATTCCAAAATTCAAATTCTGTATAAAGGTCCCGGTCTCTGGTGGTACAAATGGCTTCCACTGCTAACCAAAAGGTTGGAGGTTCAGTAACCCAAGTACACATGGAAAAGAAAGACCTTGTGATCTATTTCTGAAAACTCAGTAATTGAAAACCCTGTGAAAAAAAAAGTCCCACTCTGACACACATGATTGACAAGATGGCACAGCGTCATGCTGTATTTCATTCTGGTGTACGCAAGGTCGAGATGAGTCGGAGTTGGCTCAATGACACCGAACAACAACAACAAATGATACACACAGTCAGTATGAGTTGCAGAAACTCAACAACAACTGGTTTTTATTTGGTTTATAAAGATCCCAGAGCCATAGTATTTCCAATGTTGTTGTTAAATGCTGTCAAGTTAGTTCCAACTCCTAGCGACCCTGTAGAGGGTTTCCAAGGAGTGACTGGTGAGTTCAAACCACTGACCTTGTGGTTCAGGTTCAAACCAACCTCGTAGTTAAGTGCTTATCCTATAATGCCACACTGGGACTCCACAGACACAATTAAAATACAGAAGTACAATGTTTAAAGCAGGGCATGCCAAGTGTTTAGAAATCTTACCCAGTGAGGAAAGTCCAGGGTAAAAAAAAGTAGGTTTCTACTAGGCTTGTCCAACCACCATATATCAATCATAAACTTTTGATTTTGTTTTGAATAGAACTCCAAGGCAATGATGATTTATACAGGTGTCAAAAGAACTTTTAAATAATTAAAAGCATACTTCAGGAAATCTTCTGGGCACCTGGATTCAGTATTGGGAATGTCCCTAAGAAAATGCTTTTATATTAGGATTGAATTCATAACATACTATAATGTGATTTCCAATAAGATCTTGGAAAAATCAGGTTTTCTCATGAAACATCTGTAAAAATGGAAACCAAGACAGCTGTTCTTGATTCCTGTTTCCAAGTTGCCTTCATGGAAGATTTTCCCTACATATACTCCCATCAGAAACATGAGAGTACCTGGTTTCCCATACCCCTACCAATGCTGGAGAATGTTACTTTTTAAATCTCTGTACATCTGATTGGTGGGAAACTGTACATTATGCTCATTTAAACTCTTAAAATTTAAATTATTAGAGAGCATGGATTTTTAACTAGTAACTGTAATAATGTATCATGAGAAAATCATCTTTAAATGCTTGAAATGTATATAAAAGAATGTTTGCTCCAGTGTAGTGTGTAATACTAAAAAAATAAATAACTTTTAAAAAGGAAAGAAGACACTTATTTATTTAATATTCAGGTACAAAATAAATTATGCTGTGTCATTCACACAGTATAATGCGAACAGCCATTAAAATAATAATGAAGGTGTATAATGATTTACGTAGAAGTGCACCCATGAAAAATTTTTATTAGAGAAAAACAAGCCAGGTCTTAAACAGCTTGTGGAGTATAATCATGTTTTGTATATTTATTCATGCATGCAGAAAAAAGTCTGGATAATTATTTGATGATCTCTTAGTGAAAAAGAAGAGAACATCTGGATAATTATTTGATGATCTCTAAGAGAAAAAGAGGAAGACCCCCCCAATGAGATGGATTGGCTAAGTGGCAGCAATGATGGACTCAAGCATGACAACAATAGTGAGGTTGGCCCAGGACCGGGCAGTGTTTCGTTCTGCTGTGCATAAAGTCGCTATGACTTGGTACCGACTCGATGGCACCTAACAATAGTAAGTGATGGGATTTTTATTTTCCTTATTCTTTTCAGGGTTAACCCTGATTTTTCTTATAATAAACATTCATTATCATAAAAAATGAAGTTAGTTCTTTGAAAAAAAATTAGTACTCATCTGAAAGCGATTTTTAATTTTCTCATTCAGAATTTTTGTAATACATATTCTAATTTAAGTACAGAAAAAAATAAAACTATACTAAGAATATACATTGTGAAGTATGAGTATTCTGGAACACTTAATTGTGCTCATGAGGAATCTGTATATGGACCAAGAGGCAGTTGTTCAAACAGAGCATGGGAACACTGAATGGTTTAAAATTAAGAAAGGTGTGTGATAAGGTTGTATTCTTTCACCATACTTATTCAATCTGTATGCTGAGCAAATCATCCGCGAAGCTGGGTTACATGAAGAAGAATGTGGCATCGGGATTGGAGGAAGACTCATTAACAACCTGCAATATGCAGATGATACAACCTTGTTTGCTGAAAGTGAAGAAGACTTAAAATATTTACTGATGAAGATCAAAGAGCACAGCCTTTGGTATGGATTACATCTCAATGTCAAGAAAACAAAAGTCCTCACCACTGGACCAGTAAACAACATCCTTATCAATGGAGAAAAGATTGAAGTTGTCAAGGACTTCATTCTTCTTGGATCAACTGTCAACACTCACGGAAGCAGCAGTCAAGAAATCAGACGATGTATTGCATCAGACAAATATGCTGCACAAAACCTTTTTAAAGCGTTGAAGAGCAAAGATGTCAGCTTGAGGACTAAGATGCACCTGACCCAAGCCATGGTATTTTCAATAACCTCATATGCATGTGAAAGCTGGCCAGTGAATAAGGAAGACCGTAGAAGAATTGATGCTTTTGAGTTATGGTGTTGGAGAATATTGCCATGGGCTGCCAAAAGACCCAACAGATCTGTTTTGGAAGAAGTGCAGTCCGAGAGCTCGTTGCAGGCCAGGATGGTCAAACTTCATCTTGCATACTTTGGATATAGTGCCAGGAGGGACCAGTCACTGGAGAAGAATACCATGTTTGGTAAGGTAGACGGTTAGAGAAAAAGAGGAAGACCCCCAGAGAGATGGATTAGCAAAGTGGCAGCATCAATGGACTCAAGCGTGGCAACAATTGTGAGGTTGGCCCAGGATTGGACAGTGCTTCGTTCTGTTGTGCATAGGGTTGCTATGAGTTAGTACCAACTTGATGGCACCTAACAACAACAAGAAGAATCTAAAATTTGAATATATAAACATATATTCAAAGATGTCAAATACAATAGGGCAAAAAGTAAAATTTTAATTCTAAAAAAACCAACATTGAAGTGATGATAATTATAAAAGTTTGGAGATGCAATAAAAAGTATTAACATATATAAAGCAAGAGCTATTAGATGTAAGTAAAACTGACAGAAATATAATTTTAAGATAAAAAAATTAAAATATATTTTTGAAAAATACTGGCATATCAAGAAGACAAACTTTAATAAGACTATAAAGTTTTAATAATACATTTCAAAATCTTGGTAAAAAGGAAAAAGATTGCTTTTTAGGAAACTAAAAAATTCCACTAAAAAAATTGAACTGGACTCTGCTAGCTTGTGATTTAGTTTCCACAGGTTGGGAAACAGGTTAATTCCCACATGATTTATAATGACCCAAAGTAGAGGAGGAAATATTTTAATGAATATTATGAAGCCAACAGAAACCTGAGCACAAAATCTGACAAAAATAATACCAGGGAACATCAGAAAATTTGAGGATAAATCACATTGTCTTTCCATTCCATTTTCCCATATAT